GGCCAGATTCTCCCCAAAAATTGCATAAAAAAAAAAGTAAAACTCAAGTCCCCGATGCCGGAGAAATCCCCGCCTAAAATGATAAAATACAACAGCCCCAGTGTGTCCCCCCGGATCAATTCCGACCGATTTTCCAAATAAAAAAATCCCCCCAAAATGTCAAATCTCCGCTCTCCCCCTCTCCCTCTCCCCGACCACCAAAATAAATCCCCAAAACTATCATTAATTACCATCGAGAGAGTAACCATAATCTTAACAAAGTGATTTGCATAAAGAAATATTTGTTTGTCAATTTTAATCTCAACCGCGTGACTCGAAGAGAAGATCGACGAAAACGTTGAGCATCTGCCAAATTGCAAAAATACAGGTGTAAAAAATTCGGGGAGGAGAATCGATTAAACAAACGTACGATACAACAATCATGAGAATGACAAATGAACAAACGAAAAGTTTTAATAAATAAATCTAAAAATAATGACGACAAAATTGGAATTGGAATTGCGCTGAAAAATCTGGTGTCATCGTTAGAGATTTAATGATGAATTTTAATTCCTCTAGTTGATCTGTTCAGACTGACAAAAATTGATCCAAGATTTGAGGGTCGAAAAACAAATGACTGATATAACTGGGACAAAAGGGATTATAAAACGGAAATCCTCGCTTTGTATTAAAAATTCGTAGATCCGATTTGTCCAATTAAATGGATTAGCGATTATCTGTGCTCATGAGAACAACGAATTGTGAATAATCTGATAATAAATGATAGAAATTCTGGAGCCAGTGATTATTTAAAATATAGTGGTGAGAAATTGCCATTTCGACGGTGGAACAGTTTGCTCAAGGAATTTTTAACAATCTCAAAATAGAAATGCCAGTGAATCTTGATGCGAGCGAAATGTCGATTGAGTCCTCAACTCTCGGGGTAGACTCGAGTGTCAGGTGAGATAATCAGTATTTTTATCGTTTTTCAATTTTTTTATTAATCTTTGGGGAGGAATGCCCTCGGGGGATGAGTCCTGCCATTTTTTTTTTGCCCGCCAAATTTATTTTTCATGGAAATTTGAATGCAGGGAATTTTTATCGAGACGTTTCACCGATTTTATCTCGAGTGAGTTTACGTGGGGGAAAGACTATTATCGATATCTCGTGATTCGATGACGCGGTTTTAATGAGTCAAGGCTAATTTTTTAATCTGAACA